GAGTCGGACCTGAACAGAACCGCAGCCTGAACCAGAACCTCGGAGCCGAGTCGGACCTGAACAGAACCGCAGCCTGAACCAGAACCTCGGAGCCGAGTCGGACCTGAACAGAACCGCAGCAGGATGCAGAACCTCAGAGCCGAGTCGGGCCTGAACAGAACCGCAGCCTTAACCAGAACCTCGGAGCCGACTCGGACCTGAACAGAACCGCAGCAGGATGCAGGACCTCAGAGCCGAGTCGGGCCTGAACAGAACCGCAGCCTGAACCAGAACCTCGGAGCCGACTCGGACCTGAACAGAACCGCAGCAGGATGCAGAACCTCGGAGCCGAGTCTGACCTGAACAGAACAACAGCGAGAACCAGAACCTCGGAGCCGTGTTGCCATGGCAGCTATCAGCTGGTATCAGGTCCGTTGTTCCGGTTCTTCAGGTTCAGATTCCTGGTCTCACCCACAAATAAAGCATCTTGGTTCTAGTTCTTTCTGTAAAACCGGTCCAGTTTTGGGTCATTTAGGTTCATCTTTATGAATGAACTAAGATCTCAAATGGATCCCAGAACCAACAGAACCAACATTTGGACTGATCAGCGCTCACAGGGATTCAGAACCACGCAGCTCTGCTCAGTTTCCATAGAACAGAAGTTCAGAATCAGCTTATTTAATAAAATGGATGAAAATCCACTGGTTGATTATGGGAGGCAGCTGCTCAGCATGATGCTGCCACCACCGTGCCCTGCTGAGGTTTCATTGGTCCATAACACGGCTCTACGTTTAAACCCAGAGATCTGGTTCGGTTCTGTGGGTCTGAATACGATAAGTTTGGAACCAGAATCTGGTCTCAGGCTCGGTTCGACCCAAACCGCTGGAACCGTCCGTTCGGGTTTCTGTCTGAGTTCTGACCCAGTTTTAGATCAGAACCACTTATAGTTCTCCTGTAGATGGTCCAGTTGGTTCCGAGCCCTGATGGGACATCAGGCTGAGAGGAACCTTCAACTGGCCCCCAGTCCCTCTGGTTAACTGGGGGCCAGTGACCCTCAGAGAGACAAAGCTTTGATCTCACCTCCTCCTGCAGGAAAACCTCTGGTTTCTGGTCGCTGGAGAATCTACGGAAGCCTGGAGGGTCAGCAAAGTTCAGACTTTTCTCTATGGAAACAACCGCTTCGCCTGGCTTTGATGATGATGATGTTGAAGCCGCAGTGTGAACCGGAAATGAGCCTGTAGAACCACCGAACGGAGCCGAACGGAACCGGTCCGCCGCTCGCTAACATGAGCAGCTCTGACGGCAAAGTTAACTCCTGTGTTTACGGTGCGGCGCGCCCTGATGACGTCAGCGCACCATGGGGGGTGACGTGGCCAGTAATGCGTGGATTCAAATGCATCCACTCATCCCGGGTTTTTTTTCCATTTATTTTATTTTATTAATCAACGCAGAAACCGGAAACTGTAAGATTTCAGATTAAAAGCACTTCCTGTTTGATCTGTAAATCCCAGATGGTCTGAAACGTGATCTGCAACCTGCAACAGGGACCACAGCAAAGAATAACCAACCAATGTTTTTAAATACACATATTAAAATTAATTCTGATGATTTTTGCATCTTTTCCATATTTTCATTAAATGTTAATAACTCTGATTTAGAGTTTATCACTAAAAGTACCTGGAAAAACATCTTTAGATCCATTTATTTTAATAATTTGAAAGCAATCATACTTAACTGCACATATATCAACATCCCACTATAAGAAATATTTATTTTTATTTCTTGATTTTATATTTTAGTAATGTTTTTTTTATTATTTGTTTTCCACAAAGTTCATGATGACTGATCGATACTTTAGCTCCTTCCCCAGAAACTCAGCCTACATGGCCGAGTTATCGGAGAACGTCTGCAGATGGCAGCTGTCCGTGTTGGAGGTGAAGTCTGAGGCTTAAAGGGTGCAGAGGAACGGAGACAGAAAGAGGCCCTGGGGGGCCCCGGTACTGCAGACTGACTGACAGCCGTGCAGCAGCATGTACTGAGGGCGGTCAGTGAGGTAGTTGATGGTCCTGGCAGCCAGATGTTTGTCCACTCCAGCGTCCTCCAGCTTCCCCCTCAGCAGCTCTGCTCTGATGGTGCTGAAAGCGCTGGAAAAGTCAAAGAACACGACTCTCACTGCGCTCCTGATGGTCTCCAGGTGGGTGAGTGCCTGCTGCAGCAGGTAGAGGATGGCATCCTCCTCTCCCATGTCAGGTCGCTAAGCTAACGGCAGTGGGTCCACCTGTTTCTATGCTGCATAATGTTAGTGAGATGTTTTCCAGGCATCCAGCTGTAAAGATCTGGACGTCTGGTTGGTGGAGAAACATTGATGACAGGAGTCTTTGAAGTTGGTCCAAATGTTAAACACCTGAAGGCCTGACGACCAGCCTGGAGCAGCGTGCTGTAACCGTTTCAACAAGGACTGTACGCCGCACGCCAAGCAAAGCATGGCTTCCAGGGCGGAGGCCACGGGAGACCCCACAGCTGAGGAAGGGTCATAGAGAGGACGGACCTTCAGGAGAGAGAACAATAGTGAAGGTTTTTGGTGATGTCATCATCATCATCATCATCATCATCATCATCGCTGTGACCAAATATTATGGAGGAGTGTCAGTATCAGTTCACACCTGCTTTCTGTCTGTTCCTTTAGAATTACAACAGCCAATGAATCTAATCAATCAACAAAATAGATTAGACAGGCAGAAGCTGTCCAACCGTCTCCATGAAACTTTGTTTGAAGAAGTGATCACGTTTGTTAACAAGGTCCAGCTTTTCAAAGCACCAGAAAACAAAAGAAAGACAAAAATCTAAATTCAATAAACTACAACAGAAAGCAGCAATTAAACAAGAAACCAACACATC